CCCGCCGCCGGGCCGGGCCTCAGCGCGGCGCTCCGCGACCTGCGCGCGCAGCTGGAGGGCACGACYGCGCGCAGCACCCTGCAGGCCGAGGACTGGTTTCGCGGTGAGTTTTCCCTCCCACATTCCCAAAAGGCTCCTTTCCCTCCCCCTTTTCCCTGTCGCTCTGCGTGCAGGGTACCCCTGCCTCCCCGGGCCCGCGCTTGGGGAGGGCGGTGTGTTCCTGTGCATGCGCCCCGCTCGGTGCAGCACTCTGCGGCAGGGCGTACGGTGACCCCAGCACCTCGGGGATCTGCAGGGCGGACCCCCCTCTTCCGCCTCCCCGCACTTTTTTAGGGAGCAGAGCAGCACAGGCACTGCACCCGCGGGATATTGGGGTAACGCTGCGGGCTTGGGAGGACGGTCCCCATCTCTCTCCCCTGGATTTTGGCCAGGGCAAGCAGGTTGGCGGAGCGCTGCAGGCAGAGGGTTATAGCGCAGTGCTGGGCGGGGGGGCGGGGGGGTGCCGCATCCTTCTCGGAGGGGCAGGGAGCGTCCTCGCTGCGCTGCTGGGCGGGGCACTACGGTAGCGAGCGGCTCGGTGCCCCGGGAACGGTGCGCAGGGTCAGCACGGTGGGGAGCGCCCGGGTGGGCTCTGCCCCTGGGGGTGTCTCCTCTTCAGCACCCTGGAGAGCGGCCGGGTGGGCTCTGCCCCTCGGGGTGTCCCCTCTTCAGCACCCTGGAGAGCGGCCGGGTGGGCTCTGCCCCTCGGGGTGTCCCCTCTTCAGCACCCTGGAGAGCGGCCGGGTGGGCTCTGCCCCTCGGGGTGTCACCTCTTCAGCACCCTGGAGAGCGGCCGGGTGGGCTCTGCCCCTCGGGGTGTCCCCTCTTCAGCACCCTGGAGAGCGGCCGGGTGGGCTCTGCCCCTCGGGGTGTCACCTCTTCAGCACCCTGGAGAGCGGCCGAGTGGGCGCTGCCCCTCGGGGTGTCCCCTCTTCAGCACCATGGAGAGCGGCCGAGTGGGCGCTGCCCCTCGGGGTGTCCCCTCTTCAGCACCMTGGAGAGCGGCTCCGCCAGCGCCCCGGGGTGGCCCCGCTTCAGCACCCTGGAGAGCGCGGGGCGCCCATAGAGCCCACGGGAGCGCGGCGCGGSTGGGCGCACAGGGTGGGTGTTCAGCACCCGTGGGGCTCCTTGGGAGGGGAGCAGYGCCCTGCGCAAAGTGGATCCTGCAGCGACTGCGGAGAGGGGCACAGCAGCAGAGCCCGCCGCGCCCTCCAGCTGCCCGCTCAAGGACAGGGTGGGTGGCTCGTCCTTGGGCACCCTAGAGGCCGAGGGTGGCAGTGTGTGTGTGGGGGTGGGCAGGGATAGGAGGGAGGCCTGGGGCTGCCGTCCCCGCACTGTGAAACAAGCAGCTCTGTAGGAAGGCGAGTTTGTGGCAGGAGCTCAAGGGGAGCCTTGGAAACAGTAGGTAGGACTGAAAATAAAAACAAATAAATAAAACCAGAATAGAGAAAAAAGGTGCCCTGTGTGTCCTGCCCTGGCACCGTGCTACCCCCGAGCACCCTGCTGGCACAGGGGGAGCGAGGGACAGGAACGCGGTGCCCCAGGGAGCTCTGGCACGGCTGGGCACTGCGGAGGATGCGCACGGAGGCTGTGCAGGCTCAGGGGGGGCTGCCCTGAAAGCGGGCAGCCTCCCGGCCTCGCTTGCCACAGCCTCTCCTCTGCCTCGTTGCAGTGAGGCTGGACAAGCTCTCCGAAGTYGCCAAGGTGAACACGGATGCCATCCGCTCGGCCCAGGAGGAGATCAGCGAGTACCGCCGCCAGCTCCAGTCCAAGACCACCGAGCTCGATGCCCTCAAAGGGACCCAGGAGTCACTGGAGAAGCAGAGGCAGGACTCGGAGGAGCGTCATCATGCAGACGTCCTCTCCTACCAGGTAATGTGGTGCTGGGGATGACGTCCCAGACCTGAGGCTTCATAGGGAGGGACCATCCAGCTGCCAGGGAGGGCAGTAGGGATATTGACTCCCAGATAAGCTGATGATGGGAGGCAGCAAATACTTGGCAGTTGTGTCTACTCCAGTTCTTTGCCAGCTCCTGCTCACCGAGCACCTAGAGCCTGGAGCACAGCCAACGTGAGGCYTCCATCACCTGTGACAAAGCTGTCCCTGTGCATGTGCCTGGCTCAGAGCTGCCTCAGTGCTGCCCACACCTGCCCTGGGCGCTTGCTCAGGGTGCGGGCTGTGGCCAGGAATTACACACAGGAATTACAGCACGGAGGGCTTACTCTGGGCAGCACCATGCAGTGATGACAGTGGATTGAAGCACTGACCCCAGAGAGATGCGGCATCTGTGTCAGGGTAGGGGCTGGTGGTGGCCACCAGACATGTCCAGTATCTAGAAATACATCCACAGGTGGAGGGGTGTCCCCTGCTGTAGGGTGGTTGCATGGGACTTGGCTCCTTGGAACACACCTCTGAGATGGCACAGTCATGGAGAGGACAGCAGGGATCCAGGTCCCCCAAGGGAACCAGGACACTGAAACAAAAGCATATAAAAACTGAAAAATGTGTATAATAAATAGTTGATGGGAGGGCATCAAGAGGACAGAGCCCAGCTCATCTCAGTGGTGGCCAATGGCAGGATAARATGCAACGGACACATGCTGAACACAGGAAGCGCTCTTGACTGTGAGGGTGTTTGGACATGGAAATAGGCTGTGGAGGCTCCATCCTCAGCCACCAGGTTCCCRAGGGACAGTGTGGGGAGCAGGGCAGGCCCCTGTGCTTTCCTTGGGGAGCTGTGTGTCACCATCTGCTCCATCTGCTGCAGGAGACCATCCAACAGCTTGACAGTGAGCTGAGAAACAGCAAGTGGGAGATGGCAGCCCAGCTCCGGGAGTACCAGGACCTGCTCAATGTCAAAATGGCCTTGGACATTGAAATCTCTGCCTACAGGTATACAGTTGGCAAGCGGAAGGTGGGGACTCTCAGCCGTGATGTTTCTCTCAGGTCATTGTGGCCCCTTGCCCAGAAATAGCCTCGTCCCACCCTTGTTAATGCCTTGCTGTGCAAGGGTGAGGAGCGATAGTGCCCATTGGAACAGGGCAATGAAGGAGATGAAGATGCAGGATATGGTTGGCATCTCCTGCTTGGGGGCCCTTGGTTGTGGGAGGAGGTGAGAGCTGGATAAGGTGCATTCAGTAACGTCCCTGCTCTGGTCTCTTCCTGGCAGAAAGCTCTTGGAAGGGGAGGAATATCGGATTGAGTCTGGCTTTGGGATGATCTCCTTCCCAGAGGTGCCCCCCAAGGCTCCCAGCATCACCACCAACATCAAAGTGAAGAGTGAGGAGAAAGTCAAGGTGGTGGAAAAATCAGAGAAGGAGACTGTGATTGTGGAAGAGCAGACAGAGGAAATTCAGGTGACTGAGGAGGTGACAGAGGAGGAAGAGGCTGAGAAGGAGGCTGAAGAGGAGAAAGAAGAGGAGAAAGCTGAAGCAGAAGAAGAGGAGGCAAAGGCTCCTGAAGAGGAGGAGGCTAAGACCCCAGCTCTGAAGTCCCCAGAGAAAGCTGAATCTCCCATAAAGGAGGAAGCCAAGAGTCCATCTATCAAATCCCCCGAGAAACCTGCAACCCCTTCAAAGGAAGAAGCCAAAACCCCAACTGTAAGATCTCCCGAGAAACCCAAAACTCCTTCAAAGGAGGAGGCCAAGATCCCGGCAATTAAATCACCTGAGAAACCTGCAACCCCTTCAAAAGAAGAGGCTAAAACCCCAACTGTGAAATCCCCTGAGAAACCTGCAACCCCTTCAAAAGAAGAGGCCAAGATTCCAGCCATCAAATCCCCTGAGAAACCTGCAACTCCTTCAAAAGAAGAGGCCAAGACTCCAACTGTGAAATCCCCTGAGAAACTCGCAACTCCTTCAAAAGAAGAGGCCAAGATCCCAGCCATCAAATCCCCTGAGAAACCTGCAACCCCCTCCAAGGAGGAGGCCAAGGTCCCAGTCATTAAATCCCCTGAGAAACCCACAACTCCCTCCAAGGAGGAGGCCAAGATTCCAGCCATCAAGTCCCCAGAAAAACCCACAACCCCTGCAAAGGAGGAGGCCAAGACCCCAGCTGTGAAATCCCCTGAGAAACCTGCCACCCCCTCAAAGGAGGAGGCCAAGATCCCAGAAAAGGTCAAATCTCCTGTGAAGGAGGAGGCCAAGGCTTCTGAGAAGGAAGCAGCCCCAGCCAAGGAGCCTGTTCCTTCTCCTCCAAAGGAGGTGAAAGCCCCCACAAAAGAAGAGCAGCCCAAGGAGGAAACGGCTCCCTCCAAGGCCCGAGTCGAGGAAGGCAGGAAAGAGGAGGCCCCCCAGGCTGCCCCGGCCAAGGCAGAGGAGAAGCCAAAGGAGAAAGTGGCACCACAGAAGGAGCCCATTAAACCCACAGAGGAAGGGAAGGCCGAGAAGGAAGCTCAGCCGAAGCCTCCACAGGAACCTAGCAAGACAGTCGAGAAGCCAAAGGCTGCGGAGAAGAAGGAGGAACCAAAGAAGGAGAAAGCGGAGCCCAAAAAGGAGCCAGAGGAGAAACCCAAAGCGGAAGCTAAACCCAAAGACGAGCCCAAAGCCGGCAAAGAGCCCGCCAAGGCCGAGAGCGCCGGCAGCGCCGAGGCCAAGGCGGGTAAAGCCCCGGAGCAGGCGCCTGCCCCGGGCAAGAGGGGCGAGAAGTGAGCAGAGGCCGGAGCAGCTYGGCCGCCCTCCCGGCGAGGGCAGGAGAGGGCTCGCGCGCCGAGCCGGGCCTTGAGCAACGTTTGCGCGAGAGACACGGTCCCCAGCCGCCCTGCTCCGGGGGGCGTCCCGATTGCTTCTGTAGCCGAACGCGACACACGCAGAGCGCCACATTTAAACACTTGAAGTATAACGACGGCGCCGGCCCCGCCGGGAGCCGGCTGCCCTTCTCCGATAAGTGCATTTATTTAAGGTACGTGCAATGAGGCCCGCGGAGCCCCGAGGGCCCGTCCCCTCCGCGCGGCGCCGCAGGCTGGGGCTGGCTTGGGTGGARCGGGCTGGGCACCGCGCGGAGATGCTCCCCACATCGCCACGTGCACCAGGAGACCCGCGTCCACCCTCAGTTGCTTATGTGCAATAACCCAATAAAGTGCTTAGAGACACGGCTGTCCTCGTCGCTGCGGGGGAGGCAGCGGGGGGTCGGGTCTTCTCTACTCACAGTAGGGCTCCCATGGGGCCCGCAGGGGCTCAAGCCGGCCGGGAGCCCGGGTTGGCGGACGGTGGGTTCAGCCCCATGGGGAGAGGCAGGAGGGATGGGGAATTGGGGTCAGAAGAGCCGCGGTGCCAGGTGTCCAGCAGGGATCCCCCCAGGAGCAGCCCCAAGGGGGCTCAGGGACCCTGGCCAGGGAGCCGGGTCTCASCCACGCTGGGGAGGCGGCCAGAGGAGGAAGGACCCACAAGCACAGCAAGGGGGACTCTAGGGGTACCCAGGGCTCCCCTCCCCATTTTGGGCCATTTGGGGCTATTTGTGCCAAGGAGATGGGGATGAGGAGAGGCGCCGGCTGCGGYGCCGGCTCGGGGCTATTTTTGGCCTCCCGGCTCAGGGTGACAGAGCCGGCGCGGGGCCGAGGGAGGCGCAGAGGCTGRCGAGGCTCCCAGCACACAGCAAAGCTCACGCAAGCCCAAGAGCTGGGGGGGCCACAGCCCCCGGGGGGGACAAGGGGCCAGGCAGCGCCGCCCAGCGCGAGCGGAGCCACCGCAGGAGCCTCCCCTGCCGCCCAGGGCAGCTTTCCAGCCCCCAGGAGAAAGGTGCGGGCAGGGACAGCGCTGGCAACCCGGGGACASTGACAGACACACAAGGGAGAGCCCCCTCCTGCCCCCGCGGGCACYCCCAGTGCGGCTCAGGCTGGCTGCACACATGGCACACAGGCGCTTCCCCTTCAGTCCAGAATTTATTCCATTGGGATACAAAACCTCGGGAAAGCAACTGAAAYGGCAGGATGGGCCGATTCCTTGGCCCGGATGAGCCCAGAGGCGGCGCAGAGCCCAGGCAGGAGCGCCTGGGGCCGTCAGCGGTGACTGAAGAAGCCCTGGGGGTAGTTGAACTTGAAGGGCTTCATGCGGGTGGGTCCCCTAGGACAGAGGCAGGAGGGAGCCCGTCACCCACGCACGGCTCTGCCTTCAAGCGAGACCCTCGCCTGGCAGCAGGACGGAGCCGCAGCGCCAGGCCAGGCAGAGCCGAAGCTGCCGGGACTCCTGCGGGCACCTTCACCCCCGCCAGCTCCCGCCTGCACGGAGGGCGGGGGGGCACCACCCTGGGGCGCCCCACGGCACCCGCTCTCACCTGACGAGGCGCAGACACATCTTCTCCTGGGGGAACTCCTTGGGCCCCTCCACGCTGGGGTCGTGCGCCTCCGTCTCCAGGTAGACGTCGAGCACCATGCAGAGGCGCTGCAGCTGGTTGGTGAGCAGCTGGTAGCCAGGTTTGGGCCCCCACAGCTCCTTGTAGCTCACGTTCACCTCGCTCTCCATGGCCTGGTACAAGCAGAGGCGTCAGCACCACCCATCCCCAGCTCTGCCCCCAAGCCTGGATCAGCACCCAGGGCCTAAATGATGTGCAGCCTCGGTGGCCACTCGCAGGCCCTACCTGGCTCCCACCTCACCCCGGTGGCCGCCTCCCTAGGGCCACAAAAGSAAAAGGGCTGCGGGCCAAAGCCGCGGGCTCACCCGGATGTTGTCGTCGATGCCGCCGGTGCGCTCCCCCTTCCAGTTGAGGCACAGGCTGAAGATGGGCGGCAGGGTGGAGTAGCCGGGGTTGAGCACCACGGCGGCCTGGAGCTTGGCTGAGCGCGCGGAGAAACGTCACGCAGGGCCCCTGCCCTCGGGGACACCCCGGAAAGACGCCCCACAAGGTGGGGACCGGCCAGCATGGCAGCRCGGAGGAGGCTGGGAGGCCACCCTCACAAATGGGACACTGGCTCCCTGCCCTGTCCTGCAACCTTTGGGCACAGCCACCAGCCTCTCAAGTCCCTCCTTGGTTTCCGAGCAGGGAGAAGGCACAGGAACGGGAACGAGGAGCCGCTGGGGCCAAGGAAGGCGCCTACCTGTGCCCCGCTCAATGAGCGCCATGTAATAGAGGTGAGTGTCCTCAGCCAGGCCGGCCTCCAGCACGTCCTTGGTGTAGGGCAGTTCCTGCACGGGGTGGCCGCGGGCCGCGTGAGCGGGCGCGGGGCCGGGCAGCGCGCAGGGTGCCGGGGCCGGCGCGGGGCACCCACCGCGTACTCCTCRTAGGAGATGGCCGCCCACTTGACCAGCCGTGAGACGATCTTGGCAGGGAAGAGGTGCTGGCACTCGCTGGACACGGGCACCACGCCGTGCTCTGCAACGGGGGACAAGGCGGTGTGAGCGGGCGAGGGCTGGCGCCGGCCATCTCACCCTCGTGCTTGGGGACAGGGACGCTCCAGGGGATGCAAAACCTTGTCCTAGAGACATGAGCTGCCCCCCAGCACAGCCCCGCATGCCCAGACAGCAGCGGATCAGTCACAGGTGTCACCCCACAGGGCCTGTGCCTGGCCTGCTTGTGGCACCCAGCTCTTCTGGTGACAGCTCAGCTGCCACCGGGGCCTGCACGGATCCCCGGCACCAAGCTCACGGGCCGGACCAGGGCAGCCTCAAACATGCTRCGAGGGGGACCGTCCTCCCTCGGCCACGTCCTTATCACCCCGCTCCACTGCCAGGGCCCAGGGGACAGTCGGGAGGGCTGGCAGTGGCACTGCAGTGACACTCGCTGTGGCCTGCCTGGGGACACTCTGGTGGCATTTGGACCCAGGCTGGAAGCACAGCCCTATAGTGAGGTGTGGAGGACCCCCAACACCCCTGTGCCCGCACGCGAGAAATGAAGGGGGCAGAGGGATCTGTGACACCCGAGGGGGCCCCGGTCCCCACTCCCACGCTTGGGGACCCTGCGGCTGCCCAGCCCGTGCGCAGGGACCGGGCACTCACCCAGCGACGCGAACTGCTTGTGCAGGGCCAGGCGCGACTGCAGCCTCGCGCGCAGCAGCTTCACCGTCATCTCCATGTGGCTGGCGCTCAGCAAGTTGTCCGCGGGCACCGTGTGCTGCGGGCACGGGGGGTGTCACCGGCGGGCCCTCCGCTGGGGACGTCCCTCCCGCCCAGGGGGACGGGCGAGCGCTCGGGGCGCTGCCCTCAACCCGCTGCTCAGCCTCAGTAAGCGTGACTGGCCCCGGCCGCCGTGCACAGGAGGCAAAATGCAGCAGCACAAACCGACCACACTGACCCATCCCAGACCTGGTGCTGCTGTGACCCGACCAAGGTCACCCACCGGGCACCAGAGGTTTGGGGGGGAKAGAGCAAGGGGGATGTAACTGTCCCCAGCACCCCCAGGCACCCCTTGGTGGGTGGGCAAGGGGAGGAACGGCCGTGCAGGGTACCTGAGGCTGCTCCTTGGGGAAGTGGAGGCCGCCCAGCTTCTGCACCCACACGTAGGGGTGCCCCAGCTCCGTCATGTAGTCGCTCAAGGTGACGATGCTGCGGGAGCAGAGAGGAAGGGTTAGCGCAGCCGTGACCGCAGGGGCATCGGGGCCGCGCTACCCCGACACCCTGGCAGGCCAGGGGGCCACCAAAGAGGCACCTAACTCGCCCGGCCATTGTGGAGAAGGGCACCCAAGAGCCAGGCTCAGGGGGCTGCAGGCTCCAAGCCACCCCGCGGAGGGACAAGCCAGGCCCACAAAGGGACAGCAGTGCCAGGCTGTGGCCACTCGGSTGGCAGCGGGACCGACTCACCCCACTTTATCGAACTGGAACTGGTTGGCAGGGTTGGGCGTTTTCTTCCCGTGGTCTCCCGGGTACAGGCAGCTCAGCAGGGAATCTGGGGACAGCAGGTCTCTGGCAGGAGGAAGAGGAGGGAGAGGAGGTTAATCATTCATTAGCCTCTGCGTGTCTCTGCAGCAGCCATAAAGAGGCTCTGCATCTGGAAAACCAGATTATGCTCCACAAACAAGCCGGAAAGAGATCCCTCTCCTTCCTGGCTGTAAGGAAKTTAGAGATCACAGGGCACAATGTTCCAGGGAGCTGCTCACAGACCTCAGYGTGATTAACAGGGCAGTTAAGTTCAGTGCATTAACTCTGACACTGACTGATGATGCTCTGGGCAGGCAGAAAACAAATCCCACGCACACAGGGCTGGGCCCAGCTGCCATTTACCACCCAGGGAGCCAGAGCTCCGGCTCAAGSCTCAGAGCAGCTGGACACCTGCCTGCCCCGGGTTTTACAGGTGCCCACAGCAAAGAGAAGCCCAAAGGGAAGGGGAGGCCCTGCTTGTGCTTCCCTCTGTCAATGGGGTCACCTCAGAGCCAGGCAGGACCCTGCGGACCAGCAGGACACGAGGGCTCCCGCTCGAGCTCCGGGGCGTGGAACACAGACCGTGTCCCAGCGCGGGGGCTCTCCTCACCCGGCGCTGACGGGGGTGGTCAGCTCGACAGCCGTGGTCACCTTGGCTTTCACCGTCATGATGTTGAGGTTCAACAGGTAATAGAAGGTCAGTTGGAGCACGTTCTCATCTGTGCCAAGAGAAGGAGGCAATGGGGCTTTTCTCTGCGCCCGGAGCTCAGCGCTCCCTGGGGATATCCCAGGGGATGGGGATATCCACGCTCTTCTCCTGCCTCTGTGCTGAACAGAACTGAGTGGCAACCCAGAGCTGTCACCAACATTGCCCTGGGGGCAGCCACCAGGCACCAAAGTGACCTGCCTGCACCTGACTGCTGAGGGTGAAACCGCCCCCAGACTCCCCCGCTCTGCACCTTAGGGTGCTGAGAGCAGGGAGCGCGGCGCGCTCACCTTTGCACTTCAGGTCGAGGGTGACGCAGAGCGGGTGGCGCTTGAGCATCTCCTTGCGCTTGTCGTCCAGCTGCACGCCCAGCGTGGGCCGGCGCCGCTTCTGCGGGGAGCCGCGCGCAGCCCTCAGCGCGGGGACACCGCGGCCGCGACTCCCGGCGCGAGGACGAGGCGCTGCCCGAGCCCAGCGCCTCCAAACCCCCTGTCCCACGGCTCCCGTTTCATTTCCTTCCGGCCCTTGGCTCCGGTGCCTTGATGCCCATGCGGGGAGGGCGGACGAGCCCCAGCAGCAGCCAGGGCAGAGCAGCTCCAGGAGCCACTCGGGTCTGTGTCCCCGCAGCGTGTAGCCGGGAGCGGGCGCAGGTTTCCCCGGCCCACGTGGCACCCGGGGAGGAGCCCAGCGCTGCCCCTTACCGTGGTCTGCTCCTCTTCCGCGTCCGAATCGCTCTCGTCATCTGCACAGAGAGGGGGCCATAAACAARCACCCAGAATACAGACAGGCAGGGACGGGACCCACTGCTCGGGGGTGCCCCCGCCGCAGCACCCAACTCACCCTGCGAGTCCTCGGGCGGCTTGTACAGGGCCTTGGCTTCCTCCACGCTCCCCTCAATGGCCACAACGAGCTTCTTGTCTGCGCGGAAACGGGAGACGGGCACGGCTCGCGGCGACGCCGGCGCGCTC